TTCTGTTGTTGCGTTCTGCAACCCCCATTTGCTCCGGTGTATAAAGGGATAGACTTTTGATGCTGAATCCCTTTGGAAGCTAAAAAACTATCCATTTTATTATTAACGTACTCCGTCCCATTATCAGAACGTAAAAGCTTAATAGGTTTGCCAGTTTGTATTTCTACATATGCCTGAAAGTTTTTGAATTTTCCAAGAACTTCAAATTTATTCTTTACAAAATAAACAAAAGTCATTCGTGACAAATCATCTATGAAACTTATAAAGTACTAAGAACCCCCTATTGATGAAACACTCATGGGTCCATAGAGGTCACTATGCACTAAGTCTAACAATTCTTTTGCTCGTTTAGCCTTACCCTTAGGAAATGGTTGTTTATGCATTTTACCTTTAATGCATGGTATACAATCATTAATTTTCGCATTAAAAGGGAAACCCTCAACCATATCTTGCAATCTAACCATCCCTCCTTCACATAAATGACCTATTTTCTTATGCAATATTTCATTTGATGAGTTTTGAGCAGTAACTAAAGCCATATCATTATGAATAGCTAAAGAATATAATCTATCGCTTACACTTGTTCCCCTAGCTACTAAATTATTACCCTTATGAACAAAGCATCTTTCCCCTGTAAAGGTAGTAACCATCCCAAAAGTTTTGTTTAAATACTTAATAGATAGCAAGTTAGCAGTTAGTTTTGGAACATGCAATACATTATTAAAAGTTACTTTTGCTTTCTGCCAATTTCTAGATAAAAGAAAACTAACACTCCCTTCCCCCTCAACTTCTATAACTGTCTGTTTTAATTTGACTAATACTTGCAGCTTGGTAATCTGTTATCAATTCTTTATATGGGGTAATACGGAACGAAGCACAAGAATCCATGTACTAAACATTAGGATTTGGATTAGAATTTGCGACATAGATACCTGCTACACAAGCTTCTTCCTTCATAGGGGTCTTACTAGAAGTTTTACATTACCCTTTTTGTTAAATTTATCATACATACTTTTCTCTCGTGGGGCTCTTTGACAATCTATACTTTTATGCCCAAACAAATTACATTTGAAGCATTTCTCCTTAAACTTATTCCTGCCTTTAAACTTCTCATTAAGGAAAGCTTGATCTAAATTCCCATCATCGTCAGCCATTAATCTAGTTTTAACGTTATCAACAGTTATCTCTTCCCCACCATTTTTCAAAGCCATAATAAGGGGTTCAAATCTATCAGGTAAGTTTGCTAAAATTATTCCAGCTATTAATTCCTCATCTGCTTTAACTCCTATTGATTTTAATTGCTGATATGCTGAAATTATTTTATGAAGGTAGTCACACATGTCTTTACAATCTGAATACTTAGTGTTAACCAATTCTTTAATTACAGACACTCTTCTAGTTATTCCTTTATCATCATAAGTTTTTGATAATACTTCCCAGGCTCCTTTGCCACTAGATAAGTCCTTCAAATCATTAAAAATTGTTTCACTAACCCCTTCAACTATGTATGACAAAGCTTTGGCATCTAAAGCTACATCTTCCTTTTTCCCTTCAACATAGTCCTATAAACTTCTTTTAATTAAGTGCATTCCCATGGCAAACTTCCAATCAGCATAATTTGCCCTCCCAGTTAATTTCTTATGGCTAAAAGAACCTTCTCCCCCTGACATGATTATTTTTCTTTGCTAACTTTAAATTAAACTATCAAAAAATATAACTATAAAATAATAAATTTTCTATTAAAACTTAGTTAAATTAAATTAGTTACAAAGTTTAAAAAAAGAAAAACAACAACATTTATTTAAGTGTTAAGCATTTAAGCCTAACCATGTGTTAACACATGCTACCATAATTTATCTATCTTCAATTCTAAAATTTAACAAAGAATTTAAAAATAAATAAATTAAACTTAATAAATATTAGCTATAAATTTCTTGGACCATTCTGGGCCCATAACCTAAAGACTTAACCCAATAATTTAAGCATGGAGGTCACAAGAAATAAAGAAACATACCTGGGTAAAGGCTGAAACTGGACTATATATTTTATTGTAGATAAGAGGTTATATTAAGGACAACACTGCTGCCATCTATGTCAGCATTTGCGATGCCATCTATGTACAACAATACAAACTAACTCAATCAACAAAATCAATTTTAAAATCTTCCGCACTTTGAATGTCGCCACTTAGTTTCTCACCATGTTGAGAATAATCACACTCCCTAGTTTGTTTTTGTATTACTTTTTATATGGCAACCACGTATTTTCTGTTGTATAGTTTGCAACGCTGGCTTAAGCGGTAGTAGTAAACATAAATGTGTTAAGTGCATTTGTCATGTGCGTGTTTCAGTCTTTTCTATATTAATTGAACTTACTTCATTGATTACTGGTCTCTTATGTTGTTTATTTATCTTAACAGCAGAGCGTGGTTCTGATATTGAACACGCTAGAAGTGAGTGAAGCATTTATATTGCTTGTATTTTATTTTTGGTCTGAATCACGTGGAAGCGAAATTTGAAATGGCAGTACGTGACGATAACACTGAGTACTGTGTTGAACCGCTTAACGGTAAGAACTTTGCTTTATTCAAGCGTCGTGCTGAAGCTATTTTTGCAGCGAAGGAGCTTGATAAATATTTAGAAACTGAAGCTGATGTAACGAAAGATGCTGAAATCAAAGATGCAAAAAAAAGGCTTTCGCTCTACTGCTAACCCTGATGGATGATACTACATTAGCAACTATGGCGACAGAATCATCTGCTTGTCAGATATGGACTAGTTTAAAGCAGAAATATTTGAAAATAAGTGCTGTTAGTCAAATTCTAGTTCGAAAGAAACTTGCCACTTTGAAGAAACGCCGAGATTGAAAGTATGCAGGAACATATTAATGAACTGTTAGCCATCGTGAACGAATTACGACTCTCGGATGCAGAAGTTAAAGATATGGATGTTGTTATTTACTTATTGAAGTTATTACCTGCGGATTACGATATCATTAAATCAACGATTGAAAATAAGCCAAATGAAACCCTGACGTTGGACTTTGTTATACAGAGACTTTTGAATGCTGAACAATTGAAATGTGACAAAACTCCTGACAATATTCGTGTTTCTGCTTCAAGTGACAACATCGCTTTTAGCGCTGATAAGCGTGATATTATTTGTCACAAATGTAAAAACAAAGGTCATGTTGCCAGGTTCTGCAAAAGGAAATTAGTTTGCTTTGGCTGTGGGCGACCAGGGCATTACAAGAAGGATTTCAGATTTAAACCTAAATCAGATTACAAAGAATTAGCTGCAGTAACATTCATGGTTGGTGAGCCTGCTGATAATTTCATTCTGGACTCTGGAGCATCTACCCATATGCGTAATATAGGTGAGTGGTTTGAAGAAATTAAACCTTTTTCTGGAACTGTTGCATGTGCTTCTAAAAATGAAGTATTAAGAGTAGAAGGCATTGGTACTGTACCTGGAACTTTACATGGTAGAAAAATAATTCTGACAGATGTATTATATGTGCCTGAATTGAATGAACAAATGATTTCTGTTAAAAATATTCAAGAGGCTGGCTACAGTGTGATTTTCAAGAATGATGTAGCTGTTATTGAGAAAAGCAGTGAAAAGTTTGAATTTTCTAGACTTAATGAGAAAGGACAATATGTGAGTCAATTTGAACCTATTAAAGCTTCAACGTATGCTGCAAATCACAGTGCGGAATTATGGCACAGACGCCTGGGGCATTCCTCTAACAAAATCTTGAAACAAATCGGTTTGCCAGTTTCTGAATCACTGTCAAGTTTTTGTGAAATGTGTGTTATAGCAAAACATTCCAACACTCCAGTGAGCAAGTGCCCTAGAAGCAGAGAGCATATGCCTATGAGAATGGTTCACACTGATATTTGTGGTCCCATTGATCCATCCACTAGGGAGGGCGAGAAGTATTTTGTTACTATTATTGACGATTGTTCAAGATTTTGTGAAGCTCACCTCCTAAGGCACAAAAGTGATATTGTTGAAGTATTTTAATTGTTCATAAAACCGAATTTTGATATTTACAAAATCCGTTGAGATTATGCCAAGGAATTTGTATTTGGTGAATTAGCACGTTACTGCAAGAAAAGAGGTGTCATGATAGATCCTGCTCCGCCATATTCACCTTCTTTGAACGGTGTTGCTAAGAGAGCAAACAGGTATCTTTTAGAGAAGGCTCGAGCTCTAATATATGAAGCGAAGCTCTCTAAATCCTATTGAGGTTATGCTGTACAAACAGCTGCCTACCTAAAGAATCGGATTCCAAACCAGACTGTTGGAGATCTACCTTTTGAGCTGAAATATGGTAAGCAACCTGATTTGAATATTATCAAAGTCTTTGGTTGGCATACATGAGAATTCCTAACAACTTAAGAAAGAAGCTAGATCCCAAATCCAATAGGATGACTTTTATAGGATATTCCACTATGGGTTATCGTTTGTGGTGACCTGGCTACTACAACTCAACGCTGCCAGTCTGGTATCCCATAGCAACGAGGAACACAAAAAAGGAAAACTAATGTTTTCTTTCTGCTGCTTGATAATTCTACTGTTTTTAATATGTACGTTATTGTTATTATTCAAGAGTGTTTAATATATTATATTTTATAGTGAGAAGCGAGTCCACTTATTTCTCACAAAAAGTTTTCCTCCACAAACTGGTGACCTCGGATTTATTACGAATCACAACCTGCAATGTTGTACAAATATGGAGTTTACATGCTAAAAGCCTGAGCAACAATAAGTTGTCAAGTGCGATGAAATGCAAGTAAGACATTTTACCTTTGATTTAAAGTCTTTTGCCACATTCTGGTAAGTCAACCTATTTCTGTCAGAATTTTATCGGATCTATGTATGGTGTGTTGAATTTGAGTCGCCAATTCCTCTGATTTAAAGTGCCAAGAAGCTGTGTCGGTATATACGTATATTGATTATTTTTCTGTGTTACTGCTTATATTTGACTGATCTAAAATGGTTGACAACAATGCTTCTTCAAAATTGGCGCGAGTTGCAGTTAAGCCTCCGCCATTTTGTCTCCAAGACCCATCGTTATGGTTCATTCAACTGGATGGGCAGTTTAAATTGAGTCACATTACTGCTGACGAAACTCAATTTTTTACAGTGATCGCCGCTTTAGAATCAAAAGTACTTCAATCAGTTCGTGAAATTATCTTGAGTCCACCGGCGACGGAAAAATACAAATCCGTGACAGTCAAAATCAAGCAACTATTGCAAGATTTACAGTTGGGTGATATGAGGCCTTCTCAATTGTTGTCTAAAATGTCAGACTTATCCGCCGGTAACCTAACGGACAATATTCTTAAAACATTATGGATGAATAGACTCCGATCAAACATGCAAGATATTTGAGCTGCCAGTAGTGAGCCTCTTACAAAGCTGTCCGAAATCGCTGATAAAATACACGAGCTGGTCATGCCAACGCAAAGACATGCAGTTCAGACTTCTGATCAAGGTATTGTGGCGTTACAGGCTCAAATTAACGAATTGTCCAAACAGGTCTCTCAATTAGTATCCATTCAAGCCAATACTTTTCGGCGCCATCGCTCTCCGTCACGTGGTCGATTTGCACGCCGTAGCTCATCAAGGAAACGTTATAAAAGCCCTCCTCCGGTTATTTGCTTTTACCATCACAATTTTGGAGACAAGGCAAACAAATGCCACCAACCGTGTCGTTATAACAACCAGGGAAACGAGACGGACCGTCGCTAAAAGCCGTGAACGACAGCAGCCGGAATAGTGCACGCCTTTTTGTCATCGATAAGAATTCGGGTCTAAAGTTTCTTGTAGACACCGGGGCTGATGTTTCTGTCGTTCCACCACATTTTTATGAGCAAAAGGGCCTAACCAAATTACAACTTTATGCAGCAAATTGAACCCCTATACAAACTTTTGGTGAACGCCTGATATCTGTGGACTTAGGATTGCGCCGCAAATTCCAGTGGCCATTCATTATTGCCCCCGTTTCAAGTCCTATTATTGGCGCTGACTACTTGCAAAAATTTTCTTTGCTTGTTGATCCGAAAAAATAGCCGTTTAGCAGATTCTTCAGCGAACTTATCTTACCCGGGAGAAATTCGCAATAGACAAGATTTAAACATTAAACTGATTTCCGATACTTCTTCATGACATCAACTTCTCAGAGAATTTCCTACAATCCCGCTCCCAGTTATGGGTAATTCACAACCCAAGCACAATGTACTACATTATATTGAAACTACCAGACCTCCAATTGGTTCTAAACCAAGACGCTTACCTCCAGACAAGCTCAAAGCCGCCAAAGATGAATTTCAATACATGATGGAACAGGGAATTTGCCGTCCACCGAAAAGTTCATGGGGCAGTCTGCTCCATCTAGTTCGGAAACGAAATGGTAACTGGCGCCCGTGCGGGGATTATCACCTGCTAAATGCAGCTACAATTCCTGATTGTTACCCAGTCCCGCACATTCAAGACTATATGCAAGTCTTAGAGGGAAAAACAATTTTTACAACTGTTGATCTTGAGCGGGCGTACCACCAAGTGCCCGTTAATCCAACTGATATTCCAAAAACTGTGGTTATAACGCCTTTCGGACTATTTGAGTTTCCGATCATGACTTTCGACTTATGCAATGCCGCTCAAACGTTCCAACGCTGCATGAATCAGGTGTTAATCGGCCTGGACTTTTGTGTACCTTATTTTAATGACGTCTTAATCGCCTCCTCTTCAGAACAAGAACACTTATCCCATTTAAGAAATATTTTTGAACGGTTTCAGAGTTACGGAGTCAGTCTCAATCCTTCCAAATGCGTTTTTGGCCAACTGGCCATGAAATTTCCACTGATGGTGTTCGACCCCTTTCAGATAGAGTCACCGCTATCTGCGATATGCCCGAATCATCTACAGTAAAGGACTTAAGAAGATTTCTTGCCATGCTCAATTTTCACCGACGTTTCCTACCTCATGCCGTGACCATACAAGTACCTCTAAATTCTTTTTTGGTTGGAAGCAAGAAAAATGACAAACGTGTTATGACCTGGACCACAGAATCACGCGATGCATTCCAAAAATTTAAAAATGATTTAATTTCGGCAACAAATTTGCAATATCCTTCAGCATCTAAACCATTATCACTCTACGTTGACGAATCGACAACAGGTATAGGAGCAGTTTTACAACAGAAAGATAAAAAAACATGGAGACCACTTTCATATTTTTCTAAAAAAAACTCTCACCAGCCCAAACCAGATACAACACTTACGATCGTGAATTATTAGGAATTTATGAAGCTGTAAAGCATTTTCGACGTATGCTGGAAGGACGCGTTTTTATGATCTTCACTGATCACAAACCATCAACCTATGCTTTTCAACAGCGTTCGGATAAAGCCTCCCCTCGTCAAATGAGACACCTAGACTTCATAAGCCAATTTTCAACAGATATCCGTTAAGTGGAGGGTTTCTCATGCGGAAATGTAAAACTATAATCACTTTACCACTTTCAAAAGGTACGAAATCCCCTGAATTCAATCTGAGTTCCACATGGATAGTTTAAAAGGAGTGTCGCGTTAAAGGTAAGTATTGAGGTCTATCATAATACTGGCTGATTGTTTCACCATCATATCCTTTTATTCGAACAATCCGCAGTAAAGGAGCTTGCGTATCTCCGACAATTTGTGGTGAAATGAAATCTGAGTAGACGTAAAAAACGGAAAAATTAGACCACGCGTCAGCCACAAATTCGGTTTTCCGGTTACCCGTAATGACTGCATCAGGTTGGAATCCTAACAATTCACCTAACTTTTCTAAATGAAGGCTACAACCTTGAACGGCGTTAATTTTAACTCGTTTCGTAGCTTTATTGTAATTTATTGTAAATCGACTTGGATTTTTTGGTAAAGCAAGTTGTATAGCTGATACAATATCGAACATTGATTCATAACACCCGACATCAATTGTTTGCCTCACAGTCGATATGATATTACCGTTACTTATCTTGTAATGAAAATAATTGTTACTTTCATTTACGTTCAGCCAAGAATGCGGATAGATGATTTCAGATAGGCCTACTTCCCATTCACCTTTTATAGATTAACTGGTATCGGTAACTGCGTCTTAAAATGGGAGATTTTGTTGTTAGGAAAAAACTGTATGGAGCTATTAGAAGGTAACGTCACGTAGAAAGACATTTTTGAGAATGAGTCTTCAGAGGTTAAGTTTCACTATTTATACTTTTTGAATATCACTCACCCAGGCATTAAACTTTTCAGGATAACCTAGAAATTTAACAAAATATTCCGTGCTTCCTCCTTTCTTTCTCTTTTTGATAACTTTTTCTACGGGATAATAGCCCGAGTTGACTACTTTTTGTAATTCTTCTGCATAAAAAGTACCTTCTATTGCTTCATTCTTTAAATCTTTCAATTTATACACTATTGGATTTCGATGAACTATTTTATCTATGACAAATAATTCTCGAGTCCAATTATTTTCATATCCTTTCTCAAATGTAAGTTTTGATTTACTAATGCGAACAGTGTCACCTACTTGAAAAACAGGGTTATCAATATTCACCTTGTCGCTATATAAATTATTCCAAACTTGTTTCTGATTATCGATATTCCCTGAGGCTGGCTCCATTTTTATACTTCTATGCTTTGTATGATTATAACTATGGATTAATTTAGAAAGGACATCAATATATTTTTTCGTGTTGAATTCTGTAAAGTATTTCCACATCTTAGTTTTCAAAGTGCGATTAAATCTTTCAACTATACTCGCATTAGTTTCATTATTTGTAGTAAAAAAATGAACTCCTGTCTTTTAAGATATTGCTGCACAAGTTTATTTGTAAATTCCGTACCCTTGTCTGATTGTAAATTTTCTGATTTTCTTTCTTTAAAAATAGTTTTTAAAGCAGACAATATATTTTTGGCTGATTTGTCTTTAACAGGAACAGCTCAAGCAAACTTTGAGAAACAATCTATACAAGTTAACAAATATTTGAATCCATTATTAAATTTTGCTAAAGATTGCATGTCAACTAAATCAATTTGAAATTGTTCATCTATACCTCCAACAATCACTCTATTACGTTTAAATTTATGCCTCACAGGTTTATGTAAAGTATAAGAATCTTTAGTCTCCAACCATTTCTTAACGTCACTTTTCTTCACTTTACCTTTCACAGAATTATAAATAACATTTACACCTCCAAAACTTCCTGGATGTCCAGGTTTCGTATAAACAGATGAAAGTAAACGATCCATAACCTATTTCAAAAATATTTTAGAAATTATCAGATTTTGTTTCTCTAATAACAGTTTAATTCTAATAGTTAAAACTAACAATCATAAACATTCTTAAAAAATAATGGTATACAATAATTTCTATAAAATTAAATAATAATACCTATTTAAGTATAAAATAGTTTTCCTTATTGTATTACAGTAAGAATTTTTTATTAAAAACCTGAAAAAAAGTATTATTCTGAAAAAGAAAATTTATGTCTGCTGAAAAAAAAGAAATCTATTTTCCTCTGAAAACAAAAGTTCACAGTAATTTTTACAAAATATAAAAATAACAACTAAATGTAGTAAAACTTAAGTTATTTTATTTGCAAAAATCATTTTTAGCAGCAGTTAATAAAGTATCTAATTTGATTTCTTTTAAAAAACCTTCACACAAAAAGTCTTTAAGGGGTTGTCTAAACAACCTTCGTTCACTTAGTTCATTACTAAAATCCAGAGCAATATTCTCCACATGTAAGTCCAAACAAGATTCATTGAAATCGTGAACACTGCACACAACCTGGTCTAGAAAGTCAGCAGACCTGTCTACTCGCTTCAGACCTTTCTTCAGTCCAATATATTTATACAACACAATTTTCAGGCAATCTTTCATAACAGGATCCGCTTCGTTGATGTCTGAATTCTTTGGCACCACTGGACACTGTTGATGGGTGGATTCTTGAAAAATGTTCAAAAAGTCCACGGACCTGTATTTTAAATTAATATAGCCGAATGTCACACTATCTCGACACTTCTGTAGTTCTCTCCATTGTTTGAAACTGATTTCCGTCTCGTGCTTGTATACGCGGCCACTTTTGCAGGTATATTCGTCCACTAGCAGATACTTTCCCTCGTCATTCATCAGCACATAAATTTTTTCACGGGGATTAGCTGGAGGGATCTCTACCAAAGCCATGTTGATGTCTGCAATGCCGAAGATACATGTCGGTGGACCATGACAGAATCAAGTATTATACTGTTCAGGCTGTAGAGTTATACCATATCCTGAAGGATAGTATGATTCTCCATATCTGTTAAATCTTCGTATGTGAATGGCTGATTTCTTGTTATACGTACTGGC